TGTGTGTGTGTGTGTGTGTGTGTGTCGCGCGCGTGTACACGAACGCAAGATGAACACGTGCACGCATTGTGAGGAAGTAAGACACACGCACAAGTGCACTGCTTTCACGTCCGTGCACGCGCGTGTGCGCGCATCCTATGGTGCCGCCCACAATTCCATGCGTGCCGCAAGTGCATGGGCGCACAACAGATTGTGCGGATTCTTGTGATGTGCATGTATTTGAATTCACATCATGCACCGCTTCTTGTGGGCTATATCCATGTGCTTGATAAGAAGCAGGCTATTTCACTTGCAAAACAACCGGGCTGTGCGTGCGCCGCGGTCGAAACACACCTGCAGCAGGGTGGCCTGGCTGGCGCCCCGCAGCGGCTTGCCGGCGTCCACGGTGCTGTAGAAGGTCTTGAGCAGCAGCTCGGCAGCTTCCACCTCGCCCTCGTCCTCAACCTCGATGTCCACCACGCCCGGCTCGTCCTGGATGGGATGGGTGGGGGTGCGGCGCGACAGTCCGCATCACGTCCGTGAGGAGCGCGCTGCAGGGTGCAGCGCCGCTGGCGCACGCACGGCTCCCATAACCCGCAGGTGGGTTGAAGGGGATGGAGCGGGATATGATATTGGCCACCCAAGACGGCCGCTCGCGCCCAAGATGCGGGCATGCACACCCATCCGCACCCGCCGCGGCACTGGCGCCGCACCTGGCCCCAGTCCGGCATGCCCTTGATGTAGTCGCTGGACTCGTCAAGGAGTACTGAGTGCGCGTCAAACTCGCGCAGCACGGCCCTGGGGGGCCGCCGCTGATCCCGCTGAGGCCGCCCCTCAGTGGGAGAGGCAGCGCCCTGGGGCGCCGCATTTGCGGCAGCGTGGTCCCCCGTCCGTGTGCGCTGCCGCTTGGCGGCGGGCGCGTCGGGCCCTGCTGGCGCCGCCAAGACCATTCTGAGCTTGATGTCGGAGTTTTCAGAGGAGTTGAACAGATGGGAGAAGTCTATAGGGCCGCTCATCTCGCGCTGTGTGTTCGTGCTGTGCGAGCTGCAGCTGCTCTCTCGCACACTTGCTGCTTCGCCCCAGCACCTGCTCAACCCTGCTGTACCCTGCTAAAACATGTCGGGTTTCACATGAGGTGCGTTAAGGGCCTAACGTCTCGTGCAAAGTGGTGCGCCTTGTGTAGATCCACCGTGGCCAACCCTGTCGCGACTCGGAACACGCCGAGCAATACGAATAACCAACAGGTGAGACGACACAGAGTTTATGTGAAGAGAATATAGATGTTCTTGGCGCCCGCATTGCCAAGTATCATAACAGTGCCCAGCATTCCCAGCAACACTGCATTCATCACTCCACACCTACAACACCATTGTTTGACCGTGCGGCCACCTGGGTCACCACGGGAGCCCTCAACAATCCCAAAGCATGGAACATGTATGATACGGTATCTTGCATCAAATGCAAGCGTTCCAAAGGATTGCTGGGGGATGAAATGCGAAGGCCAGAAAGATCATGTTGGAAAGAGGCTCCTCTCATTCCCAACAACAAGCTGTATTCAGCATTTGTGGACGAATGCAGCACATAAGCACCCATCTCTGCCTCACGTATAATATTATACACACTATGAGACCCTGTTAGATTTTTTGGGGGGCAATATGTACTGACACGGTGTTTACAAACAACTCAACTCAGTCAAATAACATCTGCTGGCAGGACAAAAAGCGCTGCAGCAACCACCAACTGTGAGTCATGATGTTGACATATGCCTTTATACAGCTTATCACCGTTTTCCGCAGAAACAAGACACCACAGCCCCTGTCGTCACAGAGGATTTGCCAATAACAATGTGCCCCCGCCCGCGCCTGTGCGCCCAGCCGCCGGCGCCAACTCTCCCCCCCACTCCTCGCTGTTTCAAAGAAAGAACCCACACCATAAGCAGTTGTCGGGTATACAAGCAGTCCCAGAGCCTCGGGGACGCTCATCGTTGGCCCGCCTGCACACAACTGCTGCGTGCCGCACATATTGTTTGGGTAATGGTGGTTTCTCAGACAAGCACAGCGTTTCTAAACGATGGCAAGGCAAAACTGCAAAAGCCAAGGCAATGGCATATGCCACTGCAGGACCATAGACGTGGCACGCAATTGAAGCTCCGCAAGAAGCAGCAGCAGAAGAATTGAACCATGGCAGGCGCTGCCTGTGTTGCGCAAATCCTAACCTGCACCAGAGACAGAGTTGTTGCTTCCCTAGAGGAATAATGAAATGCACATGGGATTGTAAAAACACGCTACACATGACTTGGTGGCAACGAGATGCACATGGCTTGATTAAATTTGGTGGCATGTATCTCCACAATCAAAAGGTGCAGGACTCAACACTGCTCAGCCCAGCACTCAGCGTGCGCTGAAGCAAGCATGTGCGAGCATGTCAACCAAGTGGTACACGCAGGGCAGTAAATGTGTTCCGCCCGCTCACTTCACGTCCTTGATGGTGAAGCGCACCAGGACTGTGCCGTCCTGCCCCACCAGGGCCTTGTTGCGCCACATCACCTCGTCCCACTCCGAGATCTCCCCCAGCTTAAACACGTCAGAGTAGCCCCAGCCGTGGCCAACTCGCGTTGCCATCACGCATGATCTTGATATGACGGGCATCACAGACCCGCCTGCCTCAAACTTGGCAGACACAGAGACAGCTGCGGCACCAACGGCAACGCCGGCAGGCCGGTGCACCCTCAGATAAGCGCAGAAATCAACGCCTTTGTCACCCGTTGCCGCCTCCACTTCGATATTCAGATCAAGGCCCTGAAAGGTTGTACGGTCCCCCGAGAATGCTGATGTTGATTTGCCTTGAGCACCTGCCGCGCTCTCATACAATCTACGCAGCTCCGCCAGGGGAACCCTCCACTCCACAACAGCCTGTGTCGTGCGGGATATGCGCCGGGATGGCAGCTGCCAGGCTGCATGGCACTCAAGTGGAATCCCGTCGACCTCAAGCAGTTCCTTACGAACTGCCTCTGACAGCCCTGCAAAAACCAGCGCGTAGTGCATGTCAGCAGGGCTGATGGCCGGCGACCAGCTGGTCAGCAGCTGCGCAGCGACGGCCGCGCTGTACAGCGGCGTCAGCAGCGGCGCCCGCACGCACTGCGCCAGCTCTGCGCGCTGCTCTGCGCTGCTGGCGTTCTTCTTGATCCAGGCCGCAATCGTGTACACCACTGTGTTCTCGCTGCTCACACACGTGCGGTCATCGCTGAGCAGCTGCCGCATGGCCGCAAAGGGCAGCGCCAGCAGCTGCGCTCGGCGTTCCCCGTTGAGCAAGGTGGCGTCCAGATCGCCCAGCCGCTCCTGCAATGCTGCAGCGGCGTACTCAAAGAGCGGCTTGAGCACTGGGTTGTCGGCCAGGGCCGGGGGCAGCTGGTATACTGCTGTCACCGTGTCCCAGTCAAGGGCACCGGCTGCGCCAGCTGTGGCTGAGCCGACAAACACCTGCACGGCAGCTTCCACCGCGCGCTCTGCTCGAAGGCGGTCAGCCAGCAGCAGCACCTGTGGGTTGTGGCGATGGTGTGGGGGGTTGTGTTGTGTGTGCTCATGTGAATGTGCATGAAAATGTTGTTGTGAGCCCATGTGTTTGCTTGTGTGCGTGCGTGTATGTGTGTGTGTGTGTGTGTGTGTGTGTGTGTGTGTGTGGGAGAGAGAGTGTGTATGTGGGTGTAATTGAAAATTTTAGACACAAAGCAGGACAGCTTGTGCGAGACGGTGAGATAGAGCCGATGATGACGCAGAGACGGTGTGTGGGTGTGCATGCCTGCTCGCGCATGCGGCACATGGACGGCACATCCTAACCTAAGCCGTGTAACCAGTGTTCCAGGGCCTCACCTGCAGCAGGGTGGCGTGGCTGGCGCCCTGGAGTGGCCTGGCTGCATCCACAGTGCTGTAGAAGGTCTTGAGCAGCACCTCGGCAGCTTCCACCTCGCCCTCGCACTCCACCTCGACATCCAGCATGCCGGGCGTGTCCTGGGTGCGTCAAGACAACGTGGCACACTTGTGCTAATAACAGAGTTGCGTGCTTCTTCTACAATTGTTCACTTGGCTTGTTGACCACAATGGTGGTCCCAACAAGAGCATACAATCCGTGCTGCACGTCAAGCCTCACCTTGCGCCATTCCAGCCCCAGCTTGCACTTGGCCCAGTCGCTGGCCTTTTGTAGGATGATTGTGTGGCCGCTGATCACTTTGACAGTGCGGCGCTCCTCCCTGTCCTTCTGTTGGCCCTCTTTCTGGTCTAGCTGCTGCCGCTTCGCCGGCGGCGCGTCGTCCTCAGCAGCAGGCACTGTGATGCGGATCTGGACATCTGATGACACTGCCGTATCGTACAGGTCGAGGAAGTCAACGGCGCCACTCATCTGCAGGCAGAGCCGCAGCCCCTGTAGCGCGCTCGACGCGCTGCTGATTGATCCGCTCACTGGCTGGACGGCTGGCCTCCTAAGGTACTGCCGGTGAAGGTGCTGTACGCACACGGTCTATTGTCTTATGTGTAGAAGTAAGCGAATGTTTGGCGCGATCTGCAGATCTGCATACACGACAGGCACGTTGCGCGCCTCAACGACGCAGGCTGACAACAGATGCAGGTGTCTGATGTTTTACCACTGAGCAATTTTTTTCGAACAGGTTGCTTACCCAACATGCATGCGCCCAATTCAAATGACCGACGCTGCCCCGACGCGGAACACGCCGCGCAACACAAAGCCCCAACAGGTAAGACGATACAAAGGTTGCTTGAACATCTAAGATTTTCGTGGCGCCCGCAGTGCCCGGCAATCCCAGCAGTAAATTTATCCCCACACACCCAATGTTGACCGTGCAGCGGCCAGGTCAGCACAAGAGCCCCGGAGGATCCCCGAAGCATGGGACATACGTGATGTCTTGCTTCAAATGAACGCTTGCCGAAGGATTGCTCAGGAGTGACACTCAATGCCCAGACAGATCCTATGGGAAACAGGCTCCTCTCATTACCAGGAAACAATTTTTTTCCAGCAACTGTGAAGAAATTGCAGCACATATGCACCCACCTCTGCCTCACGTATGATATCCTACAAACACTAAGACCTCCAGGAAAAGTAACTTGTGGGCAATATGGATTGACAAGGTGTGCACGAACAACTCGCGTCAGTTAAACAACGTCCGCTGGCAGAACAAAAAACGCTGTAGCACCGCCAATTGTGATTCATATTCCACCCAGATACCTTGATACAGCTCAACACTGCTCATCACAGCAACACGAAACCACAACTCCAGTCGTCACAGAGGATTTGCCAACCTGCATGCCCCCCCCCACCCCTCGCTGGTTGAAAGAACCCATACCATTAATAGTTGTCAAGTATACAAGCAGTCCAAGAGCCTCGGGGACGCTCATCGTTGGCCTGCACCCAAGTGCTGCCTGCACCCAAGTGCTGCATGACGCACATACTGTTTGGGTGACGGCGGTGTTTTGGACAAGCATGACATTACTGAATGCTGTGGCTTCGACTGCCTTAAATAAGGCAGTAGCATGCACACGGGGTTACTACACAACGGCATACCTAAAGCGGCTCCTCCGCAAACTTACTAGGGCAGGGAGGCCATACTACAGAAGCCAAACCACCACTTGAATGGCATATGCTGCTGCAGGACCGTTGATGTGGCACGCAAATGAAGTTGACACTCAGCAGAAGCACGCAACGAACGATGGTGCTGCCTGTGATGAGCGGATACCAACCTGAACCAGAGACGGCTCAATTGTTGTTATCTTGATATACCTCTAGATACAACAATATGCACATGGGGCATTCAAACATGCTACACATGACTTGGGGGCAACGAGATTCATGTGGCTTGATATGGATGGTGGCATGTATCCCCACAATAGAAAGGTGCAACACTCAGCTCTGCTCGGCTCGGCACTCGGCGTGCGCTGAAGCAAGCATGTGCAAGCATGTCAAAAAACTAAGAACGCAGGGCAATATATGTGTGGTTATGCCCGCTCACACCACGTCCTTGATGGTGAAGCGCACCAGGACCGTGCTGTCCTGCCCCACCAGGGCCTTGTTGCGCCACACCACCTCGTCCCACTCCGCGACGTCCCCCAGCTCGAAAGCATTGGGGAAGCCCCAGCCCTGGCCAGTTCGCGTTAACCACAGGAATGATTTCGTGATGACGGGCACCGTGGACCCGCCCGCCTCAAGCTTGGCAGACACCGAGGCAGCTGCGGCAGCAGCGGCAACGCCGGGAGGCCGTTGCACCCTCAGGTAAGCGCCAAATTGCACGCCTTTGTCACCCGTCCTCGCCTGCACTTCGATATCCCAATCAAGGCCCTGAAAAGTTGTGCGGGCACCCAAGAACGCTGATGTTGATTTGCCTGCAGCACCTGCCGCGCTCTCATATATCCGCCTCAGCTCCGCCAGGGGAACCCTCCATTCCACAACAGCCTGTGTCGTGCGGGACGTGCGCCGGGGTGGCAGCTGCCAGGCTGCATGGCGTTCAAGTGGAAGCCCGTCGACGTCAAGCAGCATTTTCCTAGCTGCCTCTGACAGCCCTGCAAAAGCCAGCGCGTAGTGCATGTCAGCAGCGCTGATGGCCGGCGACCAGCTGGTCAGCAGCTGCGCGGCGAAGGCCGCAGTATACAGAGGCGTCAGCCGCGGCGCCCGCACGCACTGCGCCAGCTCGGCGTGCTGCTCTGCGCTGCTGCTGGCGTTCTGCTTGATCCAGGCTGCCACTGTGTACACCACAGTGTTCTCGCTGCTCACGCGTGTGCGCTCGTCGCTGAGCAGCTGCCGCAGTGCCGCAATCGGCAGCGCCAGCAGCTGTGCCCGGCGTTCCTCGTTGAGCAAGGTGGCATCCAGGTCGCCCAGCTGCTGCTGCAATGCTGCAGCGGCGTAGTCAAAGAGCGGCTTGAGCACTGGGTTGTCGGCCAGGGCCGGGGGCAGCTGGTACACCCCCGTTGCCGTGTCCCAGTCCAGGACACCGGCTGCGCCAGCTGTGGCTGAACCGACAAGCACCTGCACGGCAGCTTCGACAGCGCGCTCTGCACGCAGGCGATCAGCCAGAAGCAGCACCTGTGGGGTGTGATCAAATGTGTGGGTGGTTGTGTTGTGTGTGCTCGTGTGTATGTGCATGTGCATGCAAACTTTCTTTTCGGAGCACATATGCTTGCTTGTGTGTGTGTGCGCGCGTGTGTGTGTGTGGGAGAGAGAGAGTGTGTGTGTCCTGTATATGTGTGATCAAGGAAAAATCGAGAAACGAGGAAGGACAGCATGCGCTCAAGACCGTGGGATAGAGAGAATGGTGACGTAGAGAGGGCGTGTGCGTGTGCATGCTGCTCGCGCATGTGTGTGGGCGTGCACATGACGTCACATCGTATCTCAAGCGGTGTCACCAGTGTTCGTGGGCCTCACCTGCAGCAACATGGCGTGGCTGGCGCCCTGGAGTGGCCTGGCCGCATCCACGGTGCTGTAGAAGGTCTTGAGCAGCAGCTCGGCAGCTTCCACCTCGCCCTCGCACTCCACCTCGACATCCAGCATGCCCGGTATGTCCTGGTTGCATAAAGGCAGTGCTGCACAGTTATGGTAGAAACAGAGGGGCATGCTTATTCAGCACTCGCACAGTTTGCTCGTCGACCACAATGGTGGTCCCAACAAGAGCGTGAAATCCGTGCTGCACGTACACTCAAAGCCTCACCTTGCGCCATTCCGGTCCCAGCTTGCACTTGGCCCAGTCGCTGGCCTTTTGCAGGAAGACGGTGTGGCCGCTGATCACTTTGACAGTGCGGCGCCCCTCCCTATCCTTCTGTTGGCCCTCCTGCTGGTCTAGCTGCTGCCGCTTTGCCGGCGGCGCGTCGTCCTCAGCAGCAGGAACTGTGATGCGGATCTGGACATCTGACGACACCAGCGAATCGTACAGGTCGAGGAAGTCGATGGCGCCACTCATCTGCAGGCATAACCGCAGCCCCTAGGGCGCGCGCGACTGCTCGTGCTGGTGATTGCTCCGCTCACTGGCTGGACGGCTGGCCTCCCAAGGTGCTGCAGGTAAAGGCACTGTACGCACTAGGTTTGTTGCCTCATCTGTTGCAAAAAAAGAGTGTTGAGCGCGATCTGCAGATCTGTACCGTACTCGAGGGCACGGGCGCACCTCTCAACCGGGCGAGACGACGACGGATAAAATTGTCTGACAAGGCATTTATCATGCGCCAAAAAGAGGGGGCTCACCGCAAAGTGTACGATAAGCGCCCATTCAAACTGGGTCTGTCAGTCTGCACCAGGTCTGCACACCACGAAAAGGGAGAAAATGAGAAAAGAGGCATCAGGTAGCCTGTATCAGGCCTCTTTTTGTACCGTACCCATATCTCTGGAGCCGACCAACAGCTTGTTGAAATGTGTATCTTGAATGTACAAGGAGTTCTAGAACTACGGGTTCGGGTCGTGCCCCTTGCCTCAGCAACGCCACCCACAAAAGCTGTACGCTGTGCAGTACCGTATTGCATCGCACCTGCAAAGCGACCTTATCATACTGGTGCAGTTTCAGCTCCTATTACTGCATCACGTGCTGCCAGCCCCTTTCTTCATTGGGCATACCGGCGCTGTCAATCCAAAGCATCGCACAGGCAGACGCAGCGCGTGGCGTACACCCAAAGGGGGGCACATGTGCCACCCACGTTGGTGCCTGGGCTCCTGGGCAACATGGTTGCCTGACTTCAACAGTCATCCAGACACTTGTCCCAGATGATTATTCCCCCAAGTGCTGCTGAGCATTGAACCTGAGTGGGTAGTAGTGTGAGTGAGGGCACGCTGACCCCGTCTGGCATGGCCAACTGGGAGTGCCGGTCGCTCCAGGAGTGCTGGACTGAGCTGATAACTTTCTCTGCTGAATGCTGCTCTCGCCCCAGCCGGTCAACGCCGCATGTCTATGTGTCACGGAGAGCACTGGCCAGGATAAGGGTTTAGTATCTCAGACTGCTAGTACTAGGCCACGTCAGTTAACACTATAAACCTTGAAGCTAATGCCAGTGGAGCAGCTGCCCAGCAGGCGCCCCTAGATGACTGGGCCCGTGAAGCGGTCATGGGCGTCGTTGAAGGGTGGCAGTCTGTGTGTTCATGATTTGGGAGCCTGTTACGCTCTGCCCCCTGTTGCGACCCCATAGCCGCATTGTTGTCTTGTTGCAACCAGGCCCCAGCGGCTCGCTTATTGTTCAAACATGCAGCAGCGCTTGTTTGCATGGGCAAACACACTTTGATGCGTGAAAAGCATAATTGGCAAGTTGGACTGGCGATGAACCAGCCGTCACACCTTCTCATCAGGCTGCATTGATTATATCGCACTAAACGTGCAAGCTGCTTAGTGAGTATGGATGAGCAGGTCAACCTTGGTCAACCCCTTGACGTGGCATCTCATCCCTTGTTGCATGGGAGGCCCCACGGCGCTGAGGCCCTGCGAGTGTGCTGGTCAACAACAATGAAACCTGATGTTCGGCGGGCGAGTTGGACACAATCAGTGTGAAAGGTGAGGGGGCGGATGTTCTCCTGTTGCCCCATCAGCAGCTGATCAGCAGCACTCATCACACACCACTTTTGTCCCGCGTCCGGCAGTGCTTGGCGAAACCCACATTGTCAAATATCATTTACAGTCCATTCGCAGCTTACAACAGTTTGAGCTCGCAGCGCGGCCATCATGGCCGCTGCACAGAGCGACGAGTTTGAGGAGGAGGTATACGATGAGGACGAGGACTATGGGGACGAGTTTGAGGAGGAGTTGACTGGAGAGGAGATTGAAGCGGACGGGGACGAGGCCATCGGCGGCGATCTGCTTGGTGGTAGGCCCGGACGGGCTCTATGGGGTGTTGAAATCATATCATGTATTGAAACCTCAAACCCACGCTTTGCAGTAGTGAATGGAGCAGCCTGGGATCCGCGGTGTGCCGACGAAGGCTTGAAGGATCTGAAATTTTGCTCGCCTTCACACTGCTCGTATCGTGGATTATCAATACTTCACATAGTGCATCGAATACAATCTTTTGTCGCTCTTTGCCATCACACACTCGCGCACCCACGCCGCAGCGGCAGAGGGCGGCAGCGCGGCAGCGGCAGCAGCGGGCGGTGGCGGAGGTGACGACGAGTACGAAGACGAGGAAGAGGGCGCCGAGGAGGAGGAGGAAGAGGAGGAGGAGGAGGAGGACGACCTCGTGGTCGCGCAGGACTGGACGGGCCTGCGCACGCTGCCGGAGCAGGCCGCTGTGTTGGACGTCCTGTCGCACCTGCGCGCCGCCGGCGCGCGGCAGCTGACCGTGCTGCTGCTCGGCAAGAGCGGCGTGGGCAAGAGCTCGCTGGTCAACGCGCTGCTGGGGGAGAAGGCGGCGGCGGTCAGCGCATTCAAGCTGCAGGCTGACACGGACTCGACAGTCAAGTACGTGCGCCAGGTGGGCCTCATTCCAATGGCCGGCGGCGACGTGGGCCTCGTTTTGGGCGGTCACTATCCGGCCAGGCATGGCAACTTTCTTCTTCAGGACTGCGCGTGCTGGTCATAAGGGATGCATGGGACGCGCGCGTTTAAGCCTGCGATTGGTCCGCGGCGCAAGAGCCGGCTCGCCGCGGGGCATGGCACCGTTGGGAAGGAGAGGCGGCGGCGGCCCAGGCCGCGACGGAGCGGCGGCGCGGGCAGCGAGCGGGAGGATGGGGGGACCTGGGGCGGCGCCGGGGCGGGCGGCCCATGGTGGCGCCATCAGCGGGCCCCGTGCCGCGGGGGCCTGCAGCGCACTGCCCCCTCACTTTGCTGCATGCCTCCAAGCGGGCTGCAGAGCAAGCAGCAACTTTGCGGCCCCTGGCTGTCGCCGACCTCCGCTCGCGCGTGCACCCCTCGCACTGCCTTCTAGAGGCCAACAACCAATGCGTGATTCGCGACCGTGACCACCCCCCCTTTTTCCCAAAACGGATGACGTCACCACCAGGTGGCCCTGGGTGACGAGGAGCTGGACGGGTACCGGCTGACCCTCATAGACACCTGCGGCCTGGAAGATCCAGAGGCGGGAGACACAGTCAGCTACGGGGTGAGCCCAGACCCAGGCAGTACTGCGGCGCCCTGCTCCCGGCGCCGCGCGGGGGCATGACCTTCTTTTCTTCATCAACTTGCTCGCGTGGCGCGCGCTGGGCGGCGGGGCTTACAAGGGGACGCGGCCCGCCACAGCTGGTCCTGCACAGTTGGGGGGAGAACGGGCCGGGCTTTGCAGATGTCCATCAACGGGGGATCCCTGCGGTGGTGGAGGCGGGCTCTGGCGGCGCTGTCAGGGCTGCGCGGCTCCTCCTGGCAGCCAGGGCCGTCTGTTTGGCGCGTGAGGCGCGCGCGCGCCCTTCACCTTGCCCGACATCCATCCAGCCGACCGCCGTCCGCTTGCACACCAAACCACACTTATGCTTAACCTTGCCCCAACCCCACCCACCCAACACTACCAAACCCGACCTAACCC